AAAGTAAAAATTAATTCAGTTATCCAGTTAACATGAGTTGCTGTTCCCAAACTCTGCTCCTTTCCTCAGTTCATCATGGGTTCCGTTTTTAGGATATTCTAGGCAAAAAAAAAAAAAGATTTTGGCCATCTTCTCAAAGGTAATAGGCTCATTTCCCCTCCCTCACATTGACACAGCCCCAGGTTGCTTGGGCAAGGCAAGTGACAGACTCAGTGTCACCTCTCCTTTCCCTGATGATAACGATCCTCCCTTACATGCTCAGCAAAAGAACCGTAGTTTGAACTTAAAGCATAACCGGGGGGCAGGCCATGGTTGTCCGCTCCGTCAGGATGATGCCTCGGCAGTGCTCCTGAGCTTCATTCATTTATGGGAGCAGAATAGCCACTCTGACAGCTCATCTACCCCATCAGGCCTCATTCAAGGCGGAAAGAAGAGGGAAAGCAGAGCTACCAGCAGACGTGGGCAAATGTCTCATTGGCCAGAACTTTGTCACAGAGCCACCTCTAGCTGTGGAGAGGCTAGCAAAGCATACATTTAGCTTTGATATCTCATGTTCTGCAGACAAACAAGAGAAGAAGATTTGGGTATGGGTTAAATCAACCTTTATTATCTGCAATAGGTAGATTATATATTCATTTTTCCCATTTTTACTATTGTTTTGTGTCATCTTTTTGAGTAGTAAAATAATTTGACTTCCGCTGATAAACTTGGTATCTTTTTCTTGCCTTCTTCTTAAATTTATGAAGGTATTTGCCTGATTTTTAAGCTGTAAAATAGCTGAAGAAAATTGGAAGTCATTGGTACCCAAAGCTAATACTAAGTAATGCAGTCTACTTTAACAGGTCACTGAATTTGCCATATATTTAATGCTGGACACTTGCCATCCAGCAACAGAATGAATGATGAATGATTATTATCTTTTTCTAACATTTGAAAAAAAAAAATCAGGCTTTATCAGATTTTAAAGCTCTAACAGAATGGTTAGAGTAATGCATTTTCAAGCCCAAGAAATACTTGCCATCACTTACAAAACAAATCAAATGATCTTCAGTCCATAGAGAATCTTAGTTTATAGGGTGGTTAATGATACAAGCATATTAGATGTTAATGCTTACCTTACAAATCGTATCACATATGGTCCAAGATACTTGTTTTCCATCTTTAGTAATAGCCGTAGTAACGTAGTTAAAGTCTAAATGAATCTGTAGTAGAAAGAGCATTGAAAAACGATCAATATCTCTGTACTTTTTTTTAATGCAGGTATTTAGTGAGAAATCTGATCCTGCCAATTTAGGGGCAATTTATAGTGTGCTATTGACATTTAAACTCATATTGAGTAATATGTCTTTTTTCAGTAGCCACAAAACAAAATTTTTAGGGTGTTCCATTGGTGATAAAATGTCATCTGTTGTGAACCAAGAATAAAATTATGCGCTAACACTGTAGGATGTCCAAGTAGAGATGAATTAACGTCTTTCAAGGGAAGGAACTTTTAGGTTAAAATTAATGTAAAGCAAAATTCTTTCTCAATGTATGTAAAATAACTTTATCCTACAGGGCACTAGAAGCAAGAGATTATCTCATTTTCATTTCAGTTCCTTACTCTACCAATATAATGTTTCTCCTCTATATCCGGAAGGTTTTCAAAAAAAGAAAAATAAAAAGGTGGTTTTGCATGTCATGTTTCTGAAAGTCTCACTATTAAAAAGTTTAATTTCCTTAGAATGATTTAATAGGTAATAGAAAACATATAAAGATGTGTATCAGTAACACATGAGTTAATAGTTTTTCGGAAGCTTATTTGAAAGGCAAATTCCCCAGATTGCAGGGGTCATATGTTTACTTCAGGACAGCGTACATGACAGTATGTCATATGCTTTGGAGTCAGCCTGAATTCAGAGCCAACCTCCACCACTTGCTAGAGGTCTGACCCTGAGAAAATGGCATAACCTCTTGATTTCTTCATCTGTGCAGTGGGAATCTCAGTGGGGAGACTACCTTCCTTGCAGGGTTGTTGTGAGGGACTGAGAGAGTATGTAAATGCTTTACGTATTTCCTGACACATAAATGTTCCATACATGCTGGCTCTATTATTAAGGATGATAAGAAAGTACCTTATGTGATGCGCCAATTATGGATTATAAATCTTGTAGAATTACTAGTTGCTACTCCAAGATTGTACTCAGGAACCAACACTTCTGGTATTTAAAATACATAAATATTGCTTTTCACAAGTAATTTTTAAAATACCACCTTTTAATACAACATTTTTATTATTGCTATGCCCAGTTAATGTCTAAAACTGTTACTTCCAGTATACAGAAGGATTACTTTCAGAATCATATAAAATCCTGGATTCTAGAATGTAATGGGCATCCAACTATTCATTAATAATGAACAATTTTAAGGGTAATCATTTCAGAAGGTTTAAAAATTATTCTCCTATACTGTGTGACATTTATAACTAATACATTTATAACTAATATATTCTACCTTCAAATAATACTAACTTACAAAATTACAATTTATAATCCTTTAACTGGTTTTAATTTGAAAAGAAAACAGTTGTGTCCTGCCACTTCTTTTTTATTAGCAACTTTATTCATAATTGCCAAAACTTGGAAGCAATCAAGATATCCTTCAGAAGGTGAATGGATACGTAAACTGTGGTACATCCAGACAATGGAATATTATTCAGTCTAAAATGAAATGAGTTATGAAGCCATGCAAATTCAGATACAGAGGAACCTCAGATGCATAGTTACTAAGTAAAAAAAGCCAATATGAAAAGGCTATATACTATATAATTCCAACTATATGAAATTCTGGACAAGGCAAAACTGGGGAGACAGTAAAAAAGATCATTGGTTTCAGGAGTGGGGGGATAGGTAGGGATGAATAACTGGAGCACAGAGGATTTATACAGTAGTGAGTCTATTCTGTATAATACTACAGTGGTGGATACAAGTCATTATACATTTTTCAAAATCCATGGAATGTGCAAGAACAACAGTGAACCCTAATGTAAACTGTGGACCTGGGTGATTATGATGTGTCATGTAGCTTCATTGATATAACAAATACATCATGCTGCCACATGATACTGATAGTGGAGGTGGTTGTATGGTGTTTGGGCAGCGGGTATATGGGAAATCTCTACTTTCTGTTCAGTCTCACTGTGAACCTAAAACTGCACTAAAAAATAAAGCCTATTTAAAGAATACATGAGAAAGGAAAAAAAAGAAAAGGGAACACTTATGCCCTGTAACCCTTTTGCTAACTGAAGAAGAACAGGGTTTGACTATCTAAGGCTAGTTTGTTTACCTCCAAAAAAAAAAAAAAAAAGATAAAATAATACAATTAAATAAATAACCTGATTTTTGTCCATTTTTATATAAATCTTAAGCTAATCTTTTGCATTAATTATGTTCTAACTCATAGTATTTGTAAAGTTTATAAAAGGAATATTAGGGGCGCCTGGGTGGCTCAGTTGGTTAAGCGACTGCCTTCAGCTCAGGTCACGATCCTGGAGTCCCGGGATCAAGTCCCACATCGGGCTCCCTGCTCGGCGGGGAGTCTGCTTCTCCCTCTGACCCTCCCCCCTCTCATGTGCTTTCTCTCTCTCAAATAAATAAATAAAATCTTAAAAAATAAATAAATAAAATAAAATAAAAATAAAAAAGGAATATTAAAAAACAAAAAGTTATCTGTCTTTAGGAACTTGACAAATCTGTAAGCAAGTCCCTTAAAGAGAGCATGTTTCAGTTCTAAAACATCATTGTGTGACTAGTGCAAAAAAGATAAATGTAGTGAAAATTTGAAGCTGTAGAATGACATGCATGAGTTAAAAGAATGTGTGGACTTGCTTTTTTATTAGAAATATTAAAACTTAAATCTTTTGAGATGAGACCCTCCATGAGACTAGTATTTGTTTTCTATGGAAAAATATTTTAGATCTCCTTCTTAGAACAAAGAGAGCTTTGTGATATCCCAACAAGGGACACCAGTTTGTCTTGATTGTTCGCCACGATCTGTAGCTGCTGATGCTTCCCAGTTTGGAAAAGCCTGGGGACCAGGCAGGGAAGATTAGCTGGCATCGGGCCAGCACAGGAACACTTGCTGGCCTCCCAGTGACCCCAGAGGTCTCAGCAGCGGTAATCTAATGAATGCAGTTTTAGGTCAATTAAAAACCATCAAACAGACTCAAAACCCTGAGGTTGAACCTTTGAACTCGAGGGACACCTCTGTATAAAGAGACCGTAGTCCTTAACCACCAGACCGATATATTGGGTGAGGAAGTAAATGCCAGTGATAGACCCTCAGCTGATGCAGAGCTTGTTGATGTACAAAACGTTCTCAGTAATAGTGCTTCTTCCCAAGAAAGGTGTGTACTAGATACTCGCAGATCGACAAACCTTTTTCTAACCTCTTTTGATATGCTAACTTACTATCCTATAGAAATTTTAGAGATATGTATTAAACATTTTAGTCAAGTTTGGGCATTGTTCTTTTGGTTTGGAGGTTTTTGTTTGTTTTGGTTTGTTTTGTTGCTGTTGTTGTTGTTTGCCCTGTACCCTCCTCCACTTAGTAACAGCACAGAAGTTTTATAAAGTAATGTCAGAATTTGGTCACAAAGAAAGAGAACCATTAAATAGCATATGATCCAGTTCCCTGATCTAGAAAAACTGGCTCTTTCTTAGGGAATAAGATACTTCTTAGAAACGGGACAATCTGTCCTCACAAGTAGCGATTAACTAGAATTCTCATGTTTTAAAATGGCTTTATCAAGCATTCTGACTCTTTTTATGAAGAGATTGCTACTGCCTAACCACTCTTTCAGCTCACTGGGGAATTAATGCTCAGTGGCCCATTGGGGTTCATACAATAGCATTAAATAATCACTCCTCCTTTATGTATCTCCTGCTGTCTTAGAAAAAAAAGGTATACTAAAATTGGCTGTGGGAGAATTCAGGACATCTGACTCTGAAGAAAATACGCACATGTACATACCCACTCAGTGGTTAAGAGGCAGCTTCAAGTACCTGGTGACAAACAAATTGCTCACACAGAGACAAGAAAGAAGAGTAGTGGTGAAAATGAAAGAAAAACTGGCCAAGGGAAACCCAAGTGCTAGTGATAGAGCTCAGGAACTGGAGCAGCTGAAGAGAACAGGTGTAGGTGCAGTCAGCTGCTTGGTGTGAAGGAGAGGGATCCACGGTTCTCCACAAATCCAGTGACGGAGCGGGGCGTCCATCTTCTCTGCGCAGGTAGTCTCCAGGGCCAGGAGGAGAGCTGGGGACAGAAGGCACGCTGAAGTGGAGGGGAGCGAAGGACATGAAAGATGCAAGGCAGACAGGGAGAGGCAGTGCTGCAAGCTTCTTTCCTTGAGCTGGCTCACAAGCTTGGTTTGGTGAATGCCATTTGGTGCCAGGCCTTGCCATCTCCTTGGACCCCAGAGAGGGCTGCCCTGTATATGCGGAGCAGCGGGAAGGCTTGGAGGCTGGGTTTGACGGTCTTAAGGTTGACAGGAAGCAGGGGCACCTGGGTGGCTCAGTTGGTTAAGCATCCGACTCTTGGTTTCAGCTCAGGTCATGATCTCAGGGTTGTGAGATGGAGTCCCACGTCTGGCTCGAAGGAGTCTGCTTGAGATTCTCTCCCTCCCTCTCCCCGCGCCCCTTCCCACACATATGTGTGCTCTCTCTAAATAAATAAAATCTTAAAAAAAAACAAAAAAAAGTTGACAAGCAGCAAAAAAGAAGGGGGGGGCTCTCTTAAATGGTATAGTGACAAGAATCAGAACCAGTAAGTTCACAGCCTTGCTCTTCCTCTGCACCTGTGCTTGGCCTCAGCTTTCTCATCTGTAAAATGGGGTAATAATACCTCACAGGGACATTGTGAAGAGTGTGTGGTAAATTGTTATCAAGTTCCCCTTATGGTGCCCTGTGATAGATGATTGGCAGGTTTCAGCCACTTCTTCCTTTTCGACTCCTGCAGTTTGATTTATAAAACAGAGCATTTAAAATTCTAAATGCTTTCTAAAATGTGAAATCCAACAGAAGAGAATTGCTGAGATGTGTATGCATTATGCTTTATACATCTCGGGTCTCAAGGACCTTGCTAACTCCAGTCATTCTTGGCGAAGAGACAGCACCGACAGTGGGGCCAGCACAGTCCTAGAGCAGGTGGCGAGGGCAGCCTTTGCCACAGGTGGGCCAGGGGCTGCCTGCTGAGTGCACGTGGGTAAGCACTACGCCCACAGACCGAAACACAGTGCGGTCAGATCTAGACATGTGCCTATAAACCAGAGACGGCACTGCAAACTGCTCGTCTGTGGGCTGATCTGTGGCTCACAGATATTTTTTTTCCTTAGCTAGCAAACTATTTTTTTTTTCTCTAGACCTCTCAAAACCTGGCTCAAACTTTTAAAAGCAAGCTTAGTATTTTTTATCAGTTGCTTTAGTCAGGGCCTTCACTCCTGTTTTACTACCTGCCCTATCATTTCCAGTTGCTCTGGACCTGGCCATTCTGTTTCTGTCTGGCGTAAAAACAGTGAGTTTTTAGTCCCTCTTTCAGGCCCAAGGTAGAGCAGGGCACAAGCCAGGAGCTGGTCCTGGACACGGAAGCAGGTATTGAATGTGTTCTGTCCTTCTGTCTTAGGGTTGCTGGATGAAATACAGGATTCTGTTAAAATGTGCATGTCAGATAAACGTAATATATTTTATGTAAGTTAATGTCACATGGAATCTTCTTATTTCCTAAATCTGGCATCCTACTCTATCCTCACTTATAATTCACATCGTACCACCAATAGGTACTCAATAAGTAGCAATTGGCATTTTAACATTTGGAAAAAGAATCTTGGAAACAGAACACTTTCGCAGCCTTGGAGAAAGGGACAGAGAACTAATCTATTTCAGCATTTGAAAGAGATAAATTGAGCAAGGCTCATGAATGAATGTTTTAATTTGATATGGGGTAAAATTGGAAACTGTCATGGCTGGGACGGTTTTTCTCATGCTGGGCAATGACAGATTGAAGGGTACTGGACTCAGGCCTTGCTCAGTGAAGAACTGCATCAAGAGGAGCATCATTCCCAGGACTGTCTTCACTGCATCTCGATGCCTATTAGAGGATGCTAAATGCTATAATTGTGGTACACTCCAGGCCTGCAGTCTCTGTAAATGCTGTTATACCCAGCTCTGCATCCTGTCATCTCTGGGTGACATTGGCCTCTTTCCTTTTCTATCCTGTTAATTCACTTCTTGAATTGCCTTGCCTACTCTGAGGGTAGCTAAGTGTCCTCTTTTTTTTCAAGCTATTCTCCCCTATCTCTGCTTAATTCTTGTGGCCTAGGAGGGCAGTGAGGAGGTAGCGTGGATGGAGGCCCGCAGTGTTCATTGGACCTCTTCTACCAGCCAGGTGCATTATCTGATTTGATATCTTGACCATGCTGTGAGGAAGGTGATGTTACTCTTTTCTTAAATATATACTTCATTTTTTTAGAGCAGTTTTAGATTCATAGCAAAACAGAATGGAAAATACAGAGTGTTCCCATTTATCCCTGCCCCAACACACCCCACTATTAACATCAGGCGCCACAGTGGTACCTTTGTTACAATTGATTATTATTTTTTAAAGATGAGAAAACTAAGGGTTTATGAAATCAGACTCTTAGGTGGCAGGGCTCTGTCTTTCCCAGGGGAAGCCTGCTTGCTTTGCTCCCTCTCAGCATCAGATCTCTCCCTGGCCTGATGCTCCTTCCAGTTCTCTCAGCCTTCATTCCCACAGGGAAATGTAAGCAGTGGTACCGCTTCAGATAAGAAGAAGGCGTGGCTAGATTGTTGTCTTGTGTTCACACATCTAGAAATTCTTTTCTGGTGGATAACTGAGGTTTTAGAGAAGCTGTGACTTGATTCCCCGAAATGACTTTGTATTTTTCTTTTCTGCCACTTCCCAGTCCTTCAAAGGCTAAAAGAAGGAAAATCGATACAGTGATCCTAAAAATGTTTTGTGTTGAGATTTTATCTGAAAGTTCCAGAAGGTACTTTCATGGAACAATCAAATTTCGGGCACAGTTTGATAGAATCTACTGTCAGGCTTTTAAGATCCGTGTTTTTCAAAGCATCAACTGTTAAGTATAATTTTAAGAATGAAGACTATCCATTTCTGCTTTAACAATCAGTGAGGTGGGTTGACCTCACACCCTAGACCTCGCCTGAACCAGGCACAGCCCCTCATGTCCTCTAGAACAGGGGAATGTGAGTGTCACTGGACTACAGTTTCTTCCCTTTAGTGCCAAATGGCAAGCTGTTACATAAATGAGCCAAAGGTGGCCTCTGTCTTTTGGCCCTTGAGTTGCTCATGTATGTAGGCTGAAATATTGTTAGCTCAGTAGCCCACTCATACTAAATTCACATTTTTACACATCTAATTACGAAAGAAAGAAAGAAATACAAGCAGAGTTTTAGCCATTTACAGCCTGCCTGCTTTACATACTCTGTGAAACCTTACCCAGCATCTGTTGACCATTGATAAGATAGGGCCTTGTGGTTTTAATACCTCAGGCTGCTACTCCCTTCTGGAGTTCTCTGACCCAGAGACTCCCTCTCATGCTTCTGAGCGAAGTCACTTAGCATGTAAGCTAACTCCCAGGAGTTCCCTTGCTCTCCTTTCTTTCTGGAGGCTGGCTTCTTTTCCTTAAGCCTCTGGACAGTCTTTCCTTTTTTTTTTTTTTAAGATTTTATATATTTATTTGTTTTAGAGAGAGAGTGTGCATGTGCGAGTGGGGGGTGGGGAGGGCAAAGGGAGAGGAAGAGGCAGAGAATCTCAAGCAGACTCTGCACTGAGCATGGAGCCCTACACTGGGCTTGATCCCACAACCCTGAGATCATGACCTGAGCCGAAACCAAGAGTCGGCCACTCAGCTGACTGAGCCACCCAGGTGCCCCTGGACAGTCTTGCTGTGAAGGACTTCCACTTTTCATGGAGCCCTGTCCAGGCACCAGCCAATAAAGCTCGTGCATTACTGCCTCTTGTGGGCATATCTATGCCCTAGATCAGCCCCCAAATCCCTCCAGCAAACCCCCTATACAAGCATACCCAACACAACTAAGATTTCGAGAAAGCCAGTATATGAATCTTCAGAATTAAAGTTGACCCATATTGCCTTACATCATTCTTTCTTCTTCCTCCTTTTGGATACCAAATAGTTGTATATATTTTTAAATGTAGAGATTTAGAGTTTGTGTGCTAAATAAGTTTGCCTGGTTTTATGTATATTTGCCCCTCCTATTTATATATGTTATTAGGAAAATGTATGATGCTTGTTCAGATTACAGTGATCAGAGACATGCTTAGATTTTTAATAAAAATAAGCATAGTGCCTATAATCTATCATGCACTTACTTTGTCAGGCAATGTATTAGGCTCTTTACATGCATTATTTTACTTAATCATCATAGTAACTAATGAGGCTAGTTCTTTTATTTATTTATATTTTATGGGTGTGGCAAGTGGGTTCAGAGAGATTCCTTGCCTCTCTTAGAGTCACATTAATGATGGCGGAACTGGGATATGAACCCAGTTTGTCAGATGCCTGCACCTGTGACCTGCTCTTTCACAAATTCCTCTTCAATAAGTGACATTTTCTATAAGGACACATGGGGAAGTAAGTAAACAATCTCAGCAGGCAGAGCCACACCTCACGGAGTAGAAGAGAATTCATCAACATTCAGAATTCAGCAGCATTGTTTGTAGTGCTACAGAAGCTCTACAGACCTAACCTAACTCCCCCGGGACACCACGTCTGCTTCCCAGCCTCCTCTTGCTTTTCTCTGGTTTCATCTGCCTCACAACTCCTTTTTTATGGCCTTTTCCCTTTGCGTATTTGCACTTCTCTGCTTCTCCCTCACTCTGGCCTCTGGATTCTCTGTGAATATCTGTTATACTTCCATAGGTAGAGGGTTGGGTTGGTCCATCCATTAGAGAGAGCTTCAGATCCAGGCACCTCATCTCCAGGGCTCATGGCAGCCCTTAGTTGTCTGCCTTTGGGTCGGGCATCAGGCCCTAGATCAGTCAGCTGGGGCCAGGGACTTACTCTGATCATGCTGTACAAATGATGGAAATTTGTGTAAGGCCACACAGGAGGGGGCTATGAGTGGGACTTGAGCTTGCAGGCTTTTTTAAAGGGCCAGTGAAAGCTCAAGTCTTCATAAGATCTGTCTGGCAAAAACAGTGTGATTCTCAAAAAGATTTTTAATGTATTTATTGTGACTAACCTAAGATCATATGACTAAAGCATCAGCAAATAAAAATATTTGGAAGGGTATTTCCTAGCAATAAAAATGTAAGTTATGAAATCTATACATACCTGGGAAAATTCAAGCATTTTTTTTGGTTGTGGCTTCTCATGCCCTTGAATATGTCATAAAATAAAATTGAAAATAAATCATTAGGTACAACAGTAGAGTTGGGTACAACATTAGTTTTCTTATTCTGCTATATTTATAAACATTTATGGGTATGTAAGAAGAGACAATGTTAAGCTTCCACGCATTATCAATTAGATTATAAGCATGATAGACTCATGTACACTTTCCTTTTAATCCTTTAGCATCTTATTATTCATAGTGTAGCAGACACTCAATAAATGACATTGTTTAATTACTTAGCCCTGATGCCAATTGAGAAGAAATCACTAGTGGAAGAATCTTTGATAAGCATAGATTCAAGGAGAAAAATGCTATTTTTTGGATCTTTCATGTCTTAATTCAAGTTTCTCTGGGTCAAGATAATGGATTAGTATTTTGGAATTTTGTATCATTCTCTTCTGTTTCCATTCACACCATCTGTTAGCTATACCCCTCACTAATGCAACTATAAGCATTCAGGAAAATATAAATCTTTCTTATGCTTTCAAGGTTTTTTTTTTTTTCATGAGGGTTTCACTACTGTGTTTGAAGTCCTAATCAGCCTCTAGTTTAGGGCTATTTTAATCCTTCTATTTGGGATGTCAGGCTGTACAACTCTAATTAAATTGATGAAAGACTACAAAACAAAATTAAGGAGCATGTGAAGATGAAGATTAATCCTATCCATGGACTTCTTTGTTAGTAGTTGAATTTTGGAATTGACCTTCTTGTCCTATCAGCTCATAAGCACACTGAGTCTAGAGAGATTAAATGCCTTCATCCCCATGGTCCCTCAGC